ACACGATGCTGAAAAGCATTGTCGGTACAAGAAACTACGTCGCGCCAGAAGTTCTCGATACGGCTGAATATAAAAATACCGTTGACTACTGGTCGATGGGAGTGATTGCATTCGAATTGATYTGCGGCAATCTGCCTTTCATTCCACATCAGCAGTTATATAGCATAGTGACAAATATACGAAAGAAAAAGGAAAGTTGTATTGCCATCACGGAGAATTTCTATGAAAATAAATTTGAATTCAATGAGCATATTCCATTTGAAAATCGCATGAGTACTGTATTCTTAAAATCCATCGAAGAATGGTTAACCATAGCGTTAGATCAAAACTACAGTACGCGCGGCAAACGTCTGTCACCATTGACACAGGAACGTGTGTTAACATTTTATAGTGAGCTGGACACGATTTTATCGCAAAAGGTGTTGACGATATTTTATTTGCCAACCTTAACATTTTACTCATACATAGTCACGCCTGAGATGAGCTTGCGCGATTTTAGAGATATGATCAAGAGAGATATTGGCATAGAGAATATTTTTTGCATTTTTCCAACCGGTCATCCACGGCCTGAGCTGTCGCATACTTACAAGCCAATCGATTTTTTTGTGGAGGAATGGCAAAATACACGCGATGCTAATAATCCACCGGTGATGCTATATATTGCGGGTGTAGACACCGAATACACTATRCCCACACCTCATATTCCTTTAGATATAAAGAAATATTTTAATGCTAAAACTGAATTACCCGAGAGCGTCGTGAAGATTATAGAGCAAAGCACACACTTTTTACTCAGCAACGAACAACWGCATCTAGAGGCTTTTGTCAGTGGGTTAAAAGAACAAGCGCTCACCGCTGAACATGAAATATTCCAGTATAATACAGACATTAAAGGGAATAAATTGGAGCACTACTTCCATGCGCTCACAGAAATGCATGGTCGCGTAGAACAGTTCGCCATTGGCATTGAAGCGGCGAAGGAAACGTGTAACGTGCAGGTGATTGTCAACCATTATAATAACATTCGTGATAACTGCTTTAAAACTTTTCAAATAATATGTGTGCTTTTTAGGGCGAAAGATGCGAAAATTTCTTCAACGAATGGTGTGCTAAAGCGAATAARTTCAAGACGTATATGGCTGAGTTAGAGACACTGAAAACCAAAGTYAACCGATATTATAAGTCCGGATTGCGGCGCGCCAAGGAAATGGCAGTCAATCCAATTTTCGATGAGCTAAAAAATAAGGATGTATACAAACTGTAAGTTCCCAAGCCAAATCAACTCTTTCAATATTTCATATCTTCCATCTTTTTCGCTTTCCAGTAAGGAGTTTAGACGACACCTAGGTATTGCATCGACAGAACGTTTGGAAGTCTGTAAAACTGCCGTGTGCGATTGTCTAAGTCAACGGGAGAAAACAATTATGAATGAACATTTGAAATTTGCTTATTCCACGATAAATTCGGTGCAAAAGGAATTCGCATTATTGCAGAGTATCGTCGACAACAGTTTAAATCGGTTGATACAAATGCGCAACACTTTAGCACAAAATACATTGGAATTTCATAAAACCATGATTGATTTATATGTAAACACCAATAGGTACAATGCCTATCTGTCACAAGATGGCGATGCGCCAACATTTGTGAATGGCAATGCTGGCTTAGCGGGCAGCATTAACGAACTTTTCCAGTACCCAGTGCAGTCATTGATTGATGAAGCTACGGAACGTATGATGCAGTAAGTTTCCCAGAGTTTTTTTTTTTTACTGAATTTTATACGTTGAATTGTTGTACAATTCTCATAAGCAGTATACGAACTTTAGTTAATTAAAGCTCTCTTTGTTTCAAATATGCGGTCAGGTATAGTCAAAGACGTGCAAAATTGCAATTTTAAATATATTTTTTGTCTGTAAATGTTTTTATTTTTGCCTTGTGGCTTCTTTTTAATGTCATTTTATTCATTTTTTCTTTTCAGAATGGATATTGATGATGATGCAAATAAGAATAATGATCTCCCAGCTACCATAACCGATTAGCTGACATTTTTCGCCTTTTTCGCAATGCATTGTGCCGAAAATATTATTAGCGTTAGTTTATAAATATATATTAGCTAAATATGACTGATTGTGATAGTACATATGTATATACATACATATGTAACACATTTTAAAGTTTATATATAGAAAGTATATAAATTGTTTATATACTTTAAATCATATAAATTGTGCATAAAAGCACAGCTGCCATGCAGTAAAAGCCAACTTACAAAATTTACTACCGATTTAAAGTATGTAATTTAAAGCAGTCACAAAATGATTAGCACATAAGCACTCACACAAAGCATGACTAATTTTTTGCTAGTAAACTAAAAGTTAAAATAAATTGATTTTTTAAAATATCGTATTTATAAAGTACGCCATATTTTATATCCACATATTAGACATTGAATAATTTTGAAAAAAAGCAATCGTGTAGTAATCGCATTTAAGAAGGCTTTACTTGACTTCTCTCCTTCGATATAGCACTGGTTTTGGTACGAATGCTTCCGTTGAGCTCATGAATTGTCCGCTCATTATCAAATTTCGCATTAAGATTATATTTTTGAGATTATCAAATTTTGCCTTAAGAAGATGTCAGTGAGAGCCAAATCTAGAGCTYGCGGTAACTAGTTTATGTCATCTCTTTTCGACAACCAACATTCAAGTGRTTGTTGTTGCATAAACCGAATGTTGGTGGACGAACTTAATGTGGCAACATCCAACTATACCGATTTCCAATGTTTCGTTTGTAACTATATGTATATATATATGTGTTTAASTTTAAATATTAATTCTTTAAAAAAGCGTTGAATTTCCATGTATCTGATTTATATACGTACAATTGTATGTAAATGTCAAAAATCATTTSTTATTGTATGCATTTTTTGATTTTTTGTTATGTTTAAGCATGGATTTTATTGCAAACTCTTGTCCATTATAGGGTAAAACCTTTTTTTTTTTTTTTTAAATCTATGTGACCATATTGATCCGCATTGTAAGTTGAATATGTTTCAAAAATAAAAAAAGAAAGACAAAGGACAAAACTTTGGCTGCACCGACTTTATAATAGCACTTCCTAAAAAGCGTGATTCATTTCGAGGTTCCCTACTTTTTAAAGAAAAAACACAGAAACTTCAAATTTAATGTGGAATGTTATTTTCATTCAAATGAACACTTTTACTGCATGGCAGCTGTGCTTTTATGCACAATTTTTTGACGATTATCTCTTTCAAATGTTGGCCGCGGCTCCGTCTCAGATGGTGCATTTATTGAGTAAATTTTTTTAGATAATTCGTTCGAGCATTTTGACTGGTAAATGGCGTATGACATGCGAGATGTTTTACTCAAAGCCCTGAATCAAAACGGGAATGTCCKCATAAGCTTGAGAATTTACATATCCCCATAGAAAAAAGTATAATGGTGTGATATCACAAGATCTTGGTAGCCAATCGACCGGCCATAAACGTGAAATTATCTGCTCGCCGGTAGTGGTGCCGTCTTGTTGAAACCAAAGGTCGCCGAGATCACGAGCTTGAATTTCAGCCATCCCGTCACGATAACGATTGCCATTGACGGTTACCTTCTCACCGGCATCATTTTTGAAGATATATATGGACCGCTGATTCTATCGACCCACTAACCACACCAAACCTTTGTCTTTTCGGGATGAAACGGTAGCACTTGAATCCCTACAGGTTGCTCTTTGTTCCAAATGCGGCATACTCATTGAGCCTGAAATGGTGTAAAACGTCGGAACTTCTTGGAAGGTCGAGTGACTTTAGTTCTTAGTGTATTTTGTACGCTTTCAATTTAAGATCTCGACGCAAAATGCGGCAAGTCGTTGCATACGTCAGTCCGAGTTGCTGCAAACGGCGCAAATCAAGTATCTACGGTCTTCGTGTACACTCTCAGCTGCGGCTGCTTTATTTTATTCACTGCGTGCCGGACGTGGTTTATGCGGTCGATTTATTTYCAATAATAAGGTCTCAAAATATCGGTCTAAGCCACATGTCGTAATACTTGGGGGCTCTTGGCTCTCAATCCTACTTTCCGCGTTATCGCTCCGGAAGAGGCGTTAGTTTACTATCGCCCATGCAGAAATAGAAATATAATAATGAATTCTTAGCCGTCACTGTAAAAGAACGCGTGAAAGATGAAAAATAAATAGAAAGAAGAGAGACGTATAAAAACGTGAACACTAGGACCATGGGGTGCTGATTAGCAGGATTAGCTGATTTTGATTTAATCAAAATTTAAGGCAACAAACGATTGATTTCAAGCCCCGGCCGCACTCTGTAAAGACAGTAACAGAAACCTGAAAACAGACACATAGAATACACATCGCGTCAAAATCAGGAAAGCAGTTCTCCAAGGCGTTCGCTGTGAGAAGAGCTTTTGTCATTATAGTGTTAGAAAAGTCTTCCGTGCCGCTTTTCTGAACGATAGGTTGCACTGTCTATTCTAGAAGTACAATGCTCCTGGAGTGCGCCGATGACATTGACACTGTAGACCTTAAAAATRGAGCCGCAGCGCAGCCTTTTCCAGTCTAGAAAAAGTAGGGAAAGGCCACATATAAAAATGCATCGCATCTTGAATATATATTTGAAAAATTTAAGGACTTTKTATATATGTACATATCTGAACCAGTATAAATTCGACTAATAATCTAAGCTTGGGGATCAAACGCAGAATAACTCTTGTCAACTGGTGCTACTTTGGAATCGGCAAGCAACTAAGACGGATGAAAATGATGCTACAGCGAATTGCTCCTTCGACGCATGGAATGCCAACGGCAGCAGGTAGCCCACGCATCCAACGGGCGCGACCTGACAAAGAATAAGAGACAACTGTTGAAGCTTTATGCACTCGGCCCAGACCGCCAGACCATCGGTTGTAGTATCAAAGAAGCWGATAAATACTTGGGGGCTTTATTTTGWCTACGACAATTTACTATGTATAAAGTTAAACGAGTAGGGCATATATTTGCAATAAACGTGGGKTGTATATGGCAACAATAATTTATAAATGAACAATAGTAAAGCGCGTAGTCAGCAATGTCAACGGTTGACCTACGAARACTTCGTCTACCACCTTCAAAAATGCAGCTCAGCAATTTGTGCTATAAATAAAAAGCGATATTTACCTACTATATATAGAACATATCTTACTGAATGGTGTTCTATACACGATTTGAGAAGCAAAATGCAACTTTGTACTTTTTTAATGTTGTTAACCACTTATAGTGGCGTTGTGATGGCAGGACCCAGCATTGAAAAGGAGCGTGCGCAATTACGTGAGTTTAAGGCTGTGCAAAAGATTTATTTATATTTTATTAACCTAACCTGATGACGCCACGTATTACCTCCGTAGCTTCTTTTGTGAAAATATGTCGACGCAGTGACCCAAATTTAGATGTGTGTGCACGTAATTCCGTGCTTGCCATGAGAGAGCTGCTGCATTATGGCATTCCAGAGCTCTTTATACCACCGATCACGCCATTGGTTGTGCCTGAAATTAGAATGGATCAAGATTCGGGCGCAATTTATCTGCATTCCACTTTCAAAGACATTACCGTTAACGGTTTGGCTAACTTCACGCTCAACGAGCTACACATAAATCCGCAAAAAATGCGAATGACACTGATGATGAGTGTGCCAAATGTGACAATGAATGCAAAGTATAAAATGAAGGGCAAAATTATGATGATGCCACTGATGGGCGAGGGTGATTTCAAGGCGAACTTCTGTAAGTCTCTTCTACATATGTATATAAAAACGATTTTTATTTATTTTCTTTAATAATGGTTCTTAATCTCTTCAATAGCCAATGTAGAGTTGAGCACGGTTATTAACGCTGAGCGTTATACCAGAAAGGAGCGCCTTTATGCCAAAGTGAAGGATGTCAAGGTGAACTATAAACTTGGTAAGGCGGACTTGCATTTGAGCAATCTTTTCAATGGTGACCACGCGCTTGGCGAACGTATGAATACATTTGTGAATGAAAATTGGGATTCACTCTCGAGTGAGCTGCGTCCTTTGTTGGAGACTTCAATATCGGATATAGTGCGCGCTTCGGCGGAGAAGATATTCGATACTTACAGCTTTGATGAGTTGCTACCCGAGTAAATGCTATAGTGATAGCTAAACATTTGATGTGTTCGTATGTTTTCGWAAATAGTTTGTACTATTTAATAAATTTCTAAACAAAATATAACTACATTTTGAAAAAAACATATATACATATGTATATCTTGGAAAGTTTTAAGATTTAATTAAGCTAGGGCTAACAACGGGTTAAGTTTTTATTATAAAACCAGAAAACATTCCTGACGTGATTTGGAGGAATGTCGACGGTTCAATAGTCCTTGGTCAAATAAAAATCAGGGTYCGTTCCGGTTACGTAGACCTGACTGTGGCGGGAATGGATTACCCGTAATACCCAACTAATTCAAAAATTCGTAAACAAAATAGTTTCTACAAATAYTAAAACGTTATCCAATTCGATTTTCCCTACTTTTCTAAAGAAAACTTCGAATTAAATGGAGAATGTTTATTATCATTCGAAAGAGAATTATTTTTTATTATTTTTTGAAGATTACCTCTTTTAAAYGTTGGCTGCGTCTACATCTCGGATGGTCCTTCCGTTGKSTCCAATTTTCGATGACTTGTTCGAGCATTTCGACTGGTAACTGTCGAATGACACCYACGATGTTTTACTCCAGGGCCTGCATCGAAGCGGGATTGTCCGCATAGACCTTAGACTTTACATATAGCCACAGAAAAAAAGTCTAACGGTGTAATATCATACAATCTTGGTGGCCAACGTGAAATTATCTGCTCAACAAAGTGCTGAGAGAACAATGCATTTATAGATGCGATGTGTGGAAAAATGGCGTCGTCTTGTCGAAATCAAATGTCGCGAAGATCACGAGTTTTAATTCAGGCCWCAATTAGTCGGTTATCTTGGCGCGATAACGGTCGCCATTCACAGCTACGTGGRGCAGTTTTGCTTATTAGCATACCCATTGAGCCAGAAATGGGTCTCATCGCTGACTAAAATTTGGCTAGAAAACGTCGGTTTTCCTTGAAGCCCATAGAGAGAAGCGTTGTCGCTTTGGAAGGTCGAGCGACTTTAGTTACAGAAGCAGTATTTCGTAYGCTTTCACTTTAAGATCTCGACGTAAAACGCGCCAAGTCTTTCCATATATCTTTTACTTATATTGCGTGTGAACGGCGTCGAATCGACTATCCGCGGTCTTCGTGTACACTCTCAGCTACRCGTGACATGTTAGTACACCTAAAAGAGTTCTWATATCATTCCTTTTATATTTTAATAGTCTGCGTGGGCGGCCAATATTCCATTCATGCCACGTTTGTCTGCGTGTTTAACAAGTCAGAGATTGATCTCACCGACACTATGTATGAGTGTTTATGAATCATTAAATTCCGTCTTTTCCGGAGTCTAACTGTAGGGTGTTGACTATTTTGGCTAGTTCATCTGCTGCACAGTTACCCTGGGAGACATTAGTGACTTGAAAGGCCGTATCTTATACATAAATACATTCCTTGTCGGAGCAAGAGTTATTTCATTAATTGTTTCGATCTTCGCTTGGAAGACACTACAGTGGTCTGGTAGTTGGAAGGTGATTTTGGTATCCAGTTTTGTAGAAAAGACACCAGCTTCCACTCGGTCAACAAGTTTGGAACCAGGCGCTGCTCCGTTCGCTCCTCTCCCTCTCTATTCTGGTAGGGAAAACAATATTCGGAACCGATTTWAGATTCAATTCTGTAGGATTTCGAAAATCCGTGGTAATGRTAAAAAACGGGAACTTTKTAAGCATCARTGCCCTTTGTTACTGGTGRCTAAAAGTGAGAATTCYCTCACTCTTAGAGCTGACTTCGCTACCTTTTGCTTACACAAGAAGTTTGTTGGCAAGCAGTGAAAAATTGTATATGCCTTTATATAGACCTGTATCATCTTATATAATATTTTTATTCATTATAAAACGATTAAGCATCTATACAGAATGCAAACCTCTCTTTAATTTACATACAAATAAATACAATAAACAACAAAAATAACAAAAGCAATTAAAGACATAATCACAGCAACCATAATTTTAGTGGCATCTTCGAGAACACATTATTCCATAAACCATGGAAAATATCCGCTAAACCCAACTCCAAATCAGGGCGCAGTTCAGCAATGACCTCTTTTGCATTTTGATTGAGGAAATTGTTGATGGAAGCGGCTAATATCTCATTGCCATTGAACAGGTCACTCAGGTGAATGCGCATCGCGCCCACATGGAACGTAACCTTCATCTCGTCAATGCGTATGACTTCCTGAAGGTTGGATACAATTTATTTTTTTTTCATGATATTTAAAAAAACAAATAGATAATTACCTCCGGTTCATTGCTTAAATGTATTTTGGTGTAAACAGCAGTTTTTACATCCTTCAAAGCCATGCGCACGTCGCCGTTACCAACCAGCGGCAGAAGCAATATATTACCCTTCAAGTTGTACTTTGCGCGTATGCGCAGTAACGGTATGTCCAGCTCAAAATTTAATAATTTCTTCTCAAGGTCCAGACTAGGCGATTCATAAAACAAAAGCAAAGTTAAGTATAATGAAATATAGGTGTAACRCAAGATGCACTCACTTAGCGCGCCGCACGGTTGCATTTGAGGGTCCACGAATGATTAGATTTTGAAAGCCGCCTGAAAGCACTAAGTTGCCGCTACCCTTTGATACCGAAACCTGATCTATGTGCAGCGGTTCGAAACTTTTTATACCGATCTCCGGTATGCCGGCCGCAAAAGCGGGAAAACAACCCTCAAATAGGCGTCGAAAACATTTCTCTTCGTTGGGATTTGCACGTTTGCAGGTCTGTAACCAATTTGCTGTTTTTAGGAAGAGAAAAAAATATATATATTGATTTTTAGTGCTGTGAAATGTTGGATAACTTCGCCGAGTGGTGAAMTTAGTAAATGCTAAAGGAAACGCCAAGAAGCTTTTTAATCGACCACAACTTCAAATTGGTAGGCCACATTACATGAACTCGCTATCTCAAAATAACGCTACATTAAAAATAATTTAAGAAATTTCCAACTACAGAAAAGCTGGTTAAAATATTTAAATTGCACTCTCGGATTTAAAGGGTTATATTCACCCGACAGCCAGAAAAATGCTCAGAGAAACTAAGTTTTGGACGGAGTCTAAACAGTGCTACGCTAAAATTCACTCTTCCCTCAATCGCATCCCTGAAAAGCTTGGACCACTTCATTATGTAGGCTATACCTGGCATCTGTTTGTATGTGGACTGTAAGAAGTCACTGGATAAGAGACGCAATGAGTCTTTTCACAAATGAGCCGAAGCTAAGATGGAAAGTATTCTGCAAAAAGCTTCCCCTTAAGCTTAGTTTTAGGCTACCGTACTACTGTACTGTGTTTTAGGCAGCAGTGACAGAGAGACGGTATTAACATGTAACTGTGCGCTCGACTTTGGTCAAGAAGTGTCTGTCCTCACTAGAAATAATATCAAGCTACTTCATCATCAATATCGTTTTGGTGCCTGGTCATAGCGGAAGTGCGGGAAACTGCGAAGCTGATGAGCTATATGAACAAGACGGGGTACCCTTACAGCGTTCACATCCGAGTGGGAATGAGTCGGGTCTCCGTTGCCATCTTGCGCTCTAGCACTGGACCGATGGACCTCGTGTGGTCGACGACCAGCTTCTGCGCGATTTTGAGGTCTTTCTGGCCTAAAGTAGAACGCAAAAGATCTATTGAACTGCCGGTGCTTGGCAAAGTTCATCTTCATGCTCTTCCCCTATGTTCAGCCTTTCCAAAACTGCGGCTGAAACATTTCGGCAGCCATACCTTCGGCAAATGAGCAGACATAGCCGAAACTAACATTGGCTRGCATAACAAATTTTTGATCGCCTCAAAGCGCCTTGTCGATTTTTGAGCGTCTTTGTGAGAATTTTTGGAGAAGTTCTGAGTACCACCATTGGCCGGCGTTAGAAGMTCTCGAAGTGAAATCCGATTTCTACGAGCGATATTTTCACCCAACTAGCAGCTCTTACATCCTAACCCAGATACCGTAGCCGATCTCCAGGAGGAGCTTCGAAAATAGGTGTCCACCGATGAGAAAATTTCTCAGCTTAAAATAATCTTAAGCCTCCAAAACCAAAAGCAGTTATTATTACTGAAGATTAATATAGATTATGATTGAAAAACTATTCGGAATTTTTATTTCTGACAAAATTTCGGCTTTCCAACCAAATATCGTTTTTCTGAAATATTTACACTTCAAAGTGTGTTWGAAAATCGAAATTTTACTCAAAATCTTATTCCTTCCACCAAATCTTTCGGTTTAGTATATCTGTGAAAATTTCAAGTCGATCGGTCCATTTGCGAAAAAATTTTCTTTAACGAATCAGAAGACAAGCTTCGAGAGTTTTTGGCACCGATTACAGAACAATTTTTACAAAKCCGCACATATCTCCGCAACTATTTGCCGAATGAACTTCGGGGAGTTTTCTCAAATATATTTGATATAATTACATATACGACAGTTGTGTCCGATTTAAGAGAACTTGGGTAGCAATTGCTCAGCACAAAATTTTATTTTTGCAACTAAACTTGTCACAACAGTTTTGTAGCCAATGTTATAAAATTGTCCTTGGAGTTTACCGTTTTTCACGCAACACACAACAAAGTTCAAAATTTCAAAAATTGTTTACAATCATTTGTTCTTACGTCGTTCTTGCAACTGAGGCGCATTATTGATAATTTCGCGTGTGTAAGCGGCAGCTGCCTGCGCCAGACAAATCGCACTAAAGATGCTCAGACTGTATCGAATTTTCCACTTAATGCTTGGCTGTGGCATCTTAACTTAACGGTTTCGTATAAGACACTATCAACACTTTAACTTAGTTTTATAATATTGCTATGAACCGTTATGGCAGAAGTACTATTTTTTTTAACTGAATATGTCCTTCTCGCCTCCAATGCCGAGTTATAAATATATTACTAGCGCTTTAAAGAGAAGTCTTCGAGTCTTTCGTTTACGCTTGTCTACTCGAACCCGCCCATTACCGTTAAGCCCRACGACTCGCACTGAAATGCGACGCTGCAATAGTGGACACTTCAGTCCAAGTCTTAGCGGCAGCAAACAAAAACGACTTGTCGAAAATGTTGATAAATATTCGTCTTACATTGTCAACTTTTCACTGCCTAGCCGYGGCTGTATCCAAATGGGAGTTAATGATATCACAGACGGCTGCCAGTGATCCATGCAATTTCTGCCATTTACTCTTTACACTCCACACTGATCGCATCGCTTGTAAACGAAAACAAGTCTTCAAGTATCCGGTATTACGTGCACACATAAATATGTATGTTTGGCTGTTTAACCACTTTCGGTCTTTACAAATGTTGCAGTTATTCGGTCTATAWGTTTAAGATTTTTTACTTGTTTTCACTTGCACAAACATTTCCTTGGATTGCTATTATGCCGCTATACATACATAATATATAGGAGATATTTCTGGTTTTACAAATTGTTGGAAAATTTKAAATTGTATAATGACTGTATCTGGAATGCCACACTGCCCCAAAAYTGCTTTGCGGTAAGTGCATTTTCTGTGCGCCTTAAGGGGAGGGTAAGTTTTRGATTTATTATTTTTTTATATTTTAACTAAATGCGTAATACCTTAAGAATATTAGGTCAAACTCAAGTCAATTCGAGCAGAATTGCCGATGATAAGAAAGTCTCAACAATTGTGCTCCTGTATTGTAACTTTTAAGTCAGCAAAGCGCCCTGTGGTCAATAACAATTTAGTCAGGCATTAAATTTCTATTCCACCAGTTCGGTGGGATATTTGAAAGAGTGAGCACTCAAGTGCTTAAGCATTGATCTTGCAACTATGCGGGACTATCAAAAAGTAAGTGTAAGTGTAAGAAATCTTTTCACCTCATTCTCTACTGACGTCCGATAAGATTCTCTACCTTACAGCATGGCAGTCGATAGCGCAGTGGSCTCTTAGAATCCGCGAAACTAGGGAGCGGCTAGCCTTACTGAGATTTTTACCCTTTACTGGATCCCTTACGATCGATCTTGTGCCAAAAGGATAATGGGACAGCGCATGTAACGATGATAGCCAGCGCTAACCAAGTCCCCGCCAAAAACCAGCATTTCAGTAGTGGTACACAYGAGGAGAGAGGAGCACCAATCCGTTCCCATTCTCTATTTGCAAAATTGTATTAAGTGCCATGGTTGGAGTGGATCGCCATGTTGATGATGGCCGCTCGTCGAACGCTCTCAAGCTTCATTGCAAGTGCTCTCTTCCTAGTTCTCTCCATCACACAAAGACCCCGCTCGATCGTTTTCTCTCTTTAACATAAAATTATCAGTGGCATATCACGTACCAAATTGTGTTGAAATTGGTCGGGCATGTCTCGAGATATTGGATTTCACCTAGAGGTGGACTGTGCCACGTCTTTGGTCCAAGTTTGACCCGGCCCGTTTAAAGGCCTCTCACACCATCTCAGGTATAAATTTTAATGTCTCTGACGTATTCAGTTATTGATTTATCACGGTTTTAGTAATGTTTAACGGTACCGCTATATTTACACTGTCGGTAGGAATTTTTGTAATATTTGCGTGAGGTAAATTTGATTGTTTTAGCTTTAGTGGTTYGRGAGATATGTACATTAAACAYWTTAGAAGGCGGGCCACGCTCAGTTCTTTAAAATTGTTGGCTCACAGGTGCCATTTGCTACTGCCATACCATGTGCCAGTTTAGAGTTTCTTTAATTTAATTTGGTGCTTAGTTCTGGTACTTTACACGTGTTTGATTAACTGCATTTTGTGGGCGTGGCAGTGTTCCGATTACGCCTATCTATGAACCCGTCCTTACGTTTTGCCAAGGAACGCGTATATCAAGTTTCATCAAGATATCTAAAATTTTACTCAAGTTGCAGCTTGTACGGACGGACAGACAGACAGTCACTTGGATTTCAACTCGTTTCGTCGTCCTGATCATTTATTCATATATAGTATATAATCCTATATCTATCTTAGCTTAGTTTTAGGTGATACGGATACATACAAGCGTTATGTGAACAAAACTATTATACTCTGTGGCAACATGTTGCAAATGTATAAAATTATAAAATGTAAATACTAACATTTAAAAATAAATTTTAACTTATTTTTTAAAGCTCAAAAAGAACCTGACCTTAAATAATGTATATAACATGTGTGTGCTATTATTATATTATTGTTTATTTTTATATTCCGTTGTTTCTTCAGTTGTAATGTTGTAACCGATTCACCGCCAAAGCGAGTTTACTAAATACCTGATTGATCTCGTAGCTTATTCACGCGTTTCAATTACGCAATGCAAAGCCACAAATCTTTGTTATTTAGTATTGTATATGAGAGACCATTGAGAGACTATGCGTACAGGGCATAATTTTACACATTTGGGAGAAACCTGTTACTAAGCCTTTAGCACAAGTTGCTTTAATTGCTAAATTCACTCATTAATAGTTTGTAATATTTCATGGCAAGCGCTGGCAAAGAGTCACATATCTCTATTAATATTTAAGTTCATTAAAAACAAAAAAAAAAATAAATAAATAAATAAACAAAACCAAAACAAAAACAATTCATGTAATTGATGAGACTGACATTTAGTGAGCTTAAATCGTATAACCACAGAATTAAATTTGAACGCTGCTGGCGTTAATTGGCGAACAGCAATAAAGCAGCGGTTACAAGTAGATGCATATATATAAAATAATTTATATTTATATGTTATATTTAAATCCATACATCGCCACATAAAATGCAAAACAACGTAACAACACTTTTTATAATTTTGCAGGCGAAGGAAAAACGATTTATAGAAACCATTTATATTGAAAATAAATTTGAGTTTTGGTTATGAATTGGTTATATATTGGTTATACATTGGTTACACATTGGTTACATATTGGTTATATCTGACAGGTGAAGCTGAAAATTTTGTGCTACATAGATGAAATTGAGTTTTGGTTATGAAGTGGTTCTATATTAGTTATATATTGGTTATACATTTGTTACACATTGGTTACATATTGGTTATATCTGACAGCTGAAGCTTAAAATTTTGTGCTACAAATAAATTTGAGTTTTTGTTATAAGGTGGTTATATGTATATTGCACATCACTTTTCATAAGTTTAGAGGCGAAGGAAAAACGATTTTATAGAAACCATTTATATTGAAACATATTTTGAGTTTTGGTTATGAATTGGTTATATATGGGTTAAACATTGGTTACATATTGGTTGTATCTGACAGCTGAAGCTTAAAATTTTGTACTACATGGATGAAACTGAGTTTTGGTTATAAAGTCGTTCTATATTGGTTATGTATTGGTTATACATTGGTTACACATTGGTTACATATTGGTTATATCTGACAGCAGAAGCTGAAAATTTTGTGCTACATAGATGAAATTGAGTTTTGGTTATGAAGTGGTTCTATATTAGTTATATATTGGTTATACATTGGTTACACATTGGTTACATCTGACAGCAGACGAAAATTGTATGCTATATATGTATATGTAATAAAATGTAGTAAATCGTACGCAATAAAAAAACGCAATTTCGAATTTTTGTTGATACGTCGTTTTGCATTTTAGGTAACGATATACATACATACATACATATGTAAACAAGTAAATGACTTATCGCTAGCGCTCGCATAATAAAATCGGCAGGTTTTCCRCTAGCTTTGCGGTTTTTGTTATTGCTGTTGCAGTCGGCCAGATATTATGCAATTTTCTTCTTGTTTTTGTTGTTCAGCAAGCGTTTTCGACCGGTTTTCTTTATGTTTGACTTGCCATTTCTGCTTTTCTATCTCTGTTATGTTATGATTTTTTCGAATTCCAAGTCACGTTTAACGCCTCTATTTGCAGACTATTACTATGGTCTATTACCGATATATTATGTACGCCTGTTGTTGCTCATTTTTGTTGTGCTTACAGGCATACGCCTGTTTCAGTTGACATTTCAATAATGTTGTCGTTTTTGTGCGCAATTTTTTTCCTCTYATTTTTAAAGAGCCGTATTTTGTTGCTAATTACGAAATCGCCTTGACATTTGCAAGCCATCAACTGTRTATTGGCGGAATGTCGCGCGCCAACGGAAAAATTTCTTATACATAGTKGAAAAAATTTACGGTTGTAAGATTTTCTAGGTTGCTTGCAACAACGCAGACGTTGCAACCGGCAATAATGATAGCTGACAGTTTGATAGTGATTTGCGCAAGCGTAGCAACTCATGCTGCGGAAGTGGAAATTTTATCACGGAAATCATTTAGACACTGTGTGAATATAGAAAAATATCTGCATTGCATACAAGTATGTATGTCTTTATTTATGTGTGCGTATGTGGCTTAAACAAATATTACAAATGTGCATGTTTTTTAAAACAAAATCCGTCTATAGTTTAGTTTTCGCACAGTCTTGACGGGTTTTCCTAAACTACAGCTTTATCAGCGGCTGTGGTCAGCTTCAGCTACTAGAAGCTGTTGTTTGCGTAATGAACAATGCGAGGTTTGACAAGTGTAGACCAAAAAAACCCGCTCGTTAGCGCTTTCATGTCGAACAGTCGGTGAGCAGTTGCGTGATCTGAACTATCTAATAATAGTATAGCTTGACAACTATTTTCTAAATTATTTTTTYCGTCGCAATGCAATTTAAAAATTATTAGTCACTCATATATAAGCCTATAAAGTATTTACATTCTGAAGTACCCGGAATTGGAAATAAAACGCAAATAATTTAATTATTTATTAATATTAATTTTTTTTTACTTCAAAGTGATTCCCCACAGTTGTAATACACTTCTGACACTGATTTTTCCAGTCCTCGAAAGACTTTTCATAAGCACTTTTTGGGTTGGCCTTTAGCTCCTTCAGCGAATTTTGTTTTGTCTCTTCGATTGGCTGAAAACGGATTCCACAATTTCACTTTTGGGAACAAGAAAACATCACACGGAGCCAAATCTGATGAATATTGATGGTATTCATTGATTCATTGCATTTTTGGTTTTAAATTCGGTCACAATCGTGTCTCGGTGCGATGGTGCATTATCATCGTGTTAAATCCAGGATTATTCTTCCACAATTTCTGCCGTTTTCGACGGCTGTTCTTACACCAACGACTCAATGAGGCCTAATATAACAACTTATTGACAGTCAGTCCCTTTGGAACAAATTCATAATGCGACAACTACAAATATCGCAATGGGCATCACCATTAATTTCTTTTTTGTTTTTTTTTTTTTTTTTTTTTTTTTTTTTTTTTTTTTTTTTTTTTTTTTTTTTTTTTTTTTTTTTTTTTTTTTACTCTTTTTTTCCCTCCATTCCGGTGTGTGTTGACTTCTTTGCATCTCAAACTCATAAACCCATGTCTCGTCAGCAGTTATAATGCTCTCCATGAGTGTGGGATCGAAGTGCGCACGATCAAGCATCTCCAAAGAGATCTGTTTACAGTGC